TAGTGAGAAAAACCACTGACTGAGGCCCCAATAACTTATAAGAAATTAAATTAAATGACTCCACTTAAATTACCAGCACTTCACCTGGTGGGGTCTGAACTCACAGCTTCGCAAATTCCTCCTGGTCGCATCTGCAGAGAAATCTGTTCTGGTTCATCAGTCAGTTGGATCTGCCTGATCCAAACCGATCCATTGAACTTTTTTTTTTTTTTACCCTGTGCAGCGCTTTTATGAGGATTTTTATTTTTTTATTTTGCGTGGTTTCACTTCCCCGTTACCGTCCCGCTCTCCTTCTGGGTGCGGGACGGTAACGTCTTCAGCTCCATTAGTTAAAACCTCAGGGTGAGTTAAGTTTAACTCTTTGCAGCGGCAGAGCCGCGTCCGCATTGGTTGTGCAGCCGCAGCGCACTGCGCTTGTTACGATCTGATTAACTTGTGCACCTTTATTTATTTCCTCAAGATAAATTGCCAGCTCCTCTGTTTAGACTATAAGTAGATTCAACATTGTATTCTCTTTAGTTTTCTCTGTTCTGTATGGAATGGAGACTGAAATTATTTCTACCAAAGTTGTTGAATGGGCTTCCTAACCAGACGCTCCAAAGCATCTGGTCCATCACTCTTCAACACGCCGTCAGCTCCCGGTCAGAAAGACGCATTTAGTTCAGTGTCCATGAGATGATATTCAGAAAGGATTCTTTTATTAATGGATTTTAGTTGCCTCTGCGATGAACTCTTTGTGTAGAGCCTATCATGTCCTGCATGAGGTTGTCAAATGACCGGCGGGCTTCAAATTTTCCTGTCGTTTAAAAAAATAACTGGTCAAATATGGAAAATGTTCCGTTAACGCGGCCTCTGATCTAGACCTTTAAAAAGTTTTAACTGTTCTAAACTTTTAGTTCTTAAAGCAAGTGAACCAAACGTACAAGACAAAAAACCTGCATATTAAACAAACCATATGTATTTTTTCAGTGTTTTTGGTCTCCTTTGTCTTCATGAGATGTTTTAAACTGCTTCAGAAAGCAGCTCAACTCCACCTTAACCTTTACTAGGTCAGGTTTTTCATCTGGAAAAATGCGTATTAAACCTGAACCCATCATTGATTCTCCACCAAAGCAGAAGAATCAGCTTGTTCAAAGAGTCTTGAATTTAAATTCACCAGCATTTCTTCAGTCTGCCTCAGAAACTTTTATATTTTCATGTACTCATATGGTTCTGTTCTATTCATCTGTATCATTTGTGATCATTTTTATCCTGTTTGTTGTATCGCTTTGAGATGCTTTTTTAAAGTGCTACATAACTAAACTAAATTTGTCGTATTTGAGGTAAATGTCCAACATGACTCATCACAACCTTTTCCCTCTCAAACTTGTTTGACCTTTGAAGGTTTCTGTAGTTCATTGTCAGCCTGAAAAGGTCTTCCACATATTGAATTTCTGGCTTCTTCTTTGAATCAGGCCTTTGTTATCATCCAAGAAGGACTAATCAATGCGCCCAACTAGGATTTACTCTCTTTTTTGCTTTTTTTTTATTCTGTTACTTGTATATGCAGGTCTGTAAAAAATGAAGAGGCCACTTAAAATGATCAGATTCTCTGATTTTAATTTTTATAGGTATATGATTGAGTAAAATGAACATTGTTCTTTTATTCTATGAACTATTGACAACATGTCTCTGAGATCCCAAGCAAAAATCTCTTGCATTTATTTGCAGAAAATGAGAAATGGTCAAAATAATGAACAAGATGCAGCGCTTCCAGACCTCAAATAATGCAAAGAAAACAAGTTCATATTCATTTAGAAACAACAATACTAATGTTTTAACTCAGAAATCAGTATTTGGTGGAATAACCAGGAGGTTTTTTGGGCTCTTCATTTTTTCCAGAGATGTTTATTTTCAGATTTGACCAAATATGGTCTCAGAAAATGCAAAATAACTCTGGAAATACTGTCTTGAGTTGGAAACAATCAAGTGTTTTAAGTCTAACACAACACTTGATAATAATTTGATCATTTGGAGGTCACCTTTATGTTTTTAACAAAGTATTTGAACTATTAATCTTACCAGAAAGAATCCAGTCAGGAATTTGTTTTTCCATAGCTAACATAAATTTGCTTCACATAATTATGAAAAAATAATTGTTACCTCAGCAGCAGTTTCTGTCAGCATTGCAAATGTTGCTGTGAAATCTTCAAAACCTCAAATTATTATCTTACAGGTATCTCCACATTGATGGGCATTTTGTGAACTTAAATGTGTTCCTAGGCATCAGAAATGTACTTTATTGTTGTGCTGCTGCCTCATTTGATGTCTTGTAAGAGCCGTTTCTTAGGAGTTGCAGGAAAACAGATTGGAGACGGATGTGAGCAGTCACTTTCTCAGACGTTTAGGAAGACTGCGAACGGCTAAAGCTGCAGTAACAGCTTCAAGCCAGAGGGTCAGACACAACCAGAGCAAATCCTCTTTGACACCAGAACTCACCCAGCTTTGTTCCTGTTTGTTCCCTCTCCAGGAAAAGCCCCACAGCACAGACAGCGAAACATAAGACAGCCGCAGCGAAAGCCGTATATCCGGTCTGTAGCTTTTAACCACTCTCTGCTAATGAGAAACAATCAGCGGCTTCGTCGTCTGAATAAATTTCAGTAATTGCTTTTTGTTCCCTAATAAACAGCAGCAGGGAATGTGAACGAGACTTGAGCTTAATTTTGTGCTTGTGAGGAGAAAACGTGGTTTACGGCGAGTGTGTGTGCGTATATGTTTGTGTGTGCATTACTTCCGGAGGCTTGTCAGGGAGAAATGTGTCCCCTGAGGAGCAGCGCTGGGATGCACATTGAAGATGGCATGAGGTGCTCAGCAGAAAGCGTGAGAGAAAGATACTGACAGCCAGTCGTCACCATGTGCTCAGTGTCTCCTCTGGTCCTGAATCTAACAGGGGAGCAACAGTGACTCACCACTTTATGTCTTCCCTTCTCATATATATATTTGTGCATTTTTAATGTGTGCACATTTTTAGAAACTTGTCACATACAGATCTATACTCCTCCAGGCCAGCATTCAGCTGCAGAAATGAAGTTTGCGCTTTCATCTAATTTGACCTGATGTTCTTTGATGAATCCAATGTTCTCCATCCTCCGTGTGACATTTGAAATGCTAATTTGATTAGCACGGTTTTGCTAATGCTGCTTAGATCTGCGTTAAATTCTTGCAGGCTGTTTGGAAACATTGCGATGACGTGGTTAGTTCTCAAATTTAATTTTTCTGCGTTCCATGAATCAAAAATGTATTGCTTGTTTAAAAACTGTCTGTTCTTCATTTAGGGAAATCTTTTTCACATGAGGTTTGAACAATACTGTGAAGGTATTTTATGATGTCACCACAAACTTTAGTGTATTTTATGTGAGGGACAAAGACAATGGAGTATAATAGGTTTCCAGTTTCTTTTTATCAAAATTTTTAGAAGTGTTATATGTAATGTTGAATCAATGCGTTGTAGAATCTCACTTCTCATCTGCAGTGTCTTCAGTCAGAGACTTCTTCGTTTTCGCTGTTATACAGACTGCTACAAGGGATCTTTCCCGCCAACAGCCATCACTATCTTCAATAACTCTCTGAACAATCTGAATTAATATGAGTTACAGTCAGATTTAATTTCTGTTGGGGAAGTATTTTTGAATTTGTTTTGAGACTCGTACTGAAATTCTTGCGTTATGTTTTGCAAAAAGCTCAGCTAGATGACAAGTTTCTAGGTTTTTAGTGAAATTCAGACTTCGAGTGCTGACCTCGATTAAACTTAGATTTGGACTTACTCATTTTATGCCATCGTTTTTTTTCTCCTTTTATGAGTTTTTGCAGCAGCACCGACTTCAGCAGCTGCCGCACCAGTATGTTGTCACATTCCTGCCAAAAACCTTGAGGAGCTTATTAAGGAATCACATCAGTGGATTTATTAACCAGGAGAGCACATAGCTCATGATGGGTATTTCTCTTAATTTGCAGGTCTATGAACGCAGCATGGTGAGCGGTTAAACTCACCTCCCTCCACCTGGATTTGATCTGAAAATTCAGACAATGAGAAGAGTTTCCTTGCCTAATTATGCTCATTAAACTCAGAGAAGTGCACAACTTTAGTGCTTCATTAATGGGCCTGTAAATAAATGGAAATGCCTGTGATCAGACGTATGTTCTCTTCAGTTCTCTCTCAGGGTTTTTGGCAGGAATGTGTCGCCATACTCTTGGCAACAACCTATTCTAAGAACAGAATGTGCCACCCATCTTTCTGTCAACTCCAGGGCTGATTACAATACCAAATTTTTATTTCAAGAACTTAAGAAAAAAATTATTATTTTCCTTTTATGTTTTAAACATACCAGTGTTGGTCTGCTGCATTTAATACCAATAGAAATATTAAAGTCTTTGGTGGAAAAATGTAAAAAGTTAATAGCAGGATACCTTTACAAGGTGCTTTATTGATGTATTTTATCTGGCATATGAGATTTGTATTGCTCTTCTGGGCATAAAATTCTTGGACCACACTTTACCAATTCCCTGAAGAGCCTTTACTTACTCTGAATGTCCTCTAATGCAATTTCACACTACTTCACTGACCTGAATTGTGCTGCTGTGACCCGTGTAATTCTTCCCAGCAGGGCTCTGCATTACTACGATCCACAACGCAGCGATTCGAGATTGTCCACCTTTTAAAAACTCTGTAATCTCAGAAGTTTTTTTTTCCTTATCCTCTCTGCGTTTCTTTCCTGCAGTGCACGAAATGGCAAAATGCGAGTTCTCAGCTTCAAAATGGGACTGGTGAGCTTGTGCAACGCAGACGTCCAGGAGAAGTACAAATGTAAGTCTGATGCTTGTTTGAGTCGGTAAGTGCATCTTATCGACTGAAGAGAGAGATCCAAAATAAAACATCCCTGATTGCCAGGATTACAAGACATCCACTTAGTGTAATGGCGGAGAATGGTTATGTTGCCATAATGAAGAAAGCTTTCTTTACTTGCTGCACCACAGGCCTTAAAAGGATTGCTTGCAGGAGTCACTTTCTTAAGGCTTTTACTTTTTCAAACAACTTTAAAATAAGTTTAGCGCTCCTTGTCTCCTTTGGAAATGATTCATGTTTAATGCAGCATTTGTTCTTAAAAGTTCTGACTATTTGAAGTGGGATTCTCTTGAGAGACTCTGAGCAGTCAACATTTTACCAGGTAAAATACATGCTCTTCAACTTAGTATTAAACATACATTTTCAAACAGATTTTTTACTATAAGATATTGTAAACAACTATGAAATTGTTTAATTAAAGCTGCAGTAGGTATCTTTTGTAAAAATACAGGTTTTGTTTTACATATTTGTACTAGCAGTATGAGACAGATGATCTGTGAAAAAATAAAGCTGCTATTCCTCCTTCCTGTGGTCCTACTGCCATCTGCAGAAGTGCACTTCCTGCTACCAAATAATACTATTGGTAAATCTCTGATTGGTAACCTCTGATTAATTATGAATTAATTAAAATTAAGGTTAGCACACAAGAAGGCTAAACTATAGCGTATTATGCTACATAGCCCAGTTTAGCATATTATGTTTCTGACTGATTCCTGTTAAATTCACCAGCAGAATCACCTCTAGATATCTCTCCAACACGTTTTCATTAATGTAAATCATTTGGTTTTTATTTTTGCTTTCTTATAGTGCATGTCTTGTTCAGTGCAATGCGTTCTGAAATCTTTTTCCAGTTTTCACATCAGAAAATGTGTTCAGTCCTTTTAAATTAATGAATCTATACCGAGTCTGATATGAATGTGTTCTGGAAATGTAATTTTCATCCACAGCGTTTCCAGAATTGGAAAATCTCAGCAGTGAGAAAAACTGCAGTTCTTGTGCTTTTGTGTCGAACCAATGGTTCCTATTATCTCACCACATAGTCTGCACAATGAAAGCGGCATATTTAAGATGTAAGAGGCCGATATGCTGCGAAAATGTCTCCATAAAACATGTCCAGAGCTCCACTCAGAAGCTTTGTGGGAATATTTAAAAACATCAAACAGGCCTCAGCTCTGGTTATGAGGACGATGTGAAGGAGGCTGTTTAAGATGCAGGCGTTGGAGCCAAACGTTTGCTCATTGTGGGGAGATATAAGCCCGCGAAGAGGGGGGATACATGCAATGCTGCGATTGTGCAGCACACTCACACGCCTGTCAGGATTCATCTCTTCAGCGACAGGCAGACTCCAAGCATAGCGAAAGAGTCGGTCAGAACTTGACAAGATGGCTTTTGTGCAGGTCTTTCATCTCTAAAGTAGCCAGGAAGATCATTAATAAAGATTTATTCCTAGTTTAAAAAAGATAAAAGCTAGTTGATTTTGGAATAAATGCAGAATTTTAAAGTCAGCAAGTGTCCTCACGCAGAGGAAAGAAAAAATACAGACACATGTGTGGCTAATTCTCTTAGCTACACATCGTATAATGATTGCTGCTGCATGTGCCAGTGTGAAATTAGATTAGTTAGTGCATAATTGATGGATAACTGCGTGAACGTTTTGCAGACTTGTTCCGTCAGGTGTCCGGTCCTGGAGGCTTGACAGACCAGCGCCACCTCAGCCTGCTGCTACATGAAGCCATCCAGATCCCCCGCCAGCTGGGCGAAGTCGCAGCTTTCGGCGGCAGCAACACGGAGCCAAGCGTCCGGAGCTGCTTCCGCATGGTGAGGACACGGCCGCGTTTCACGCCCAGGTCCATTAACAGATGTGCTTAGAGCTCTGGAGGCTGATTAAATAGATTTTTTTCTGACATTTGGACATTTGGAGGTTTAGGCTGCATCTTTAAAGGGGCAGTGCGAGCTTTACATCATGTTTTCCCTCATCAAAAACACCTGGATTCCTTCATAAATGTTTGGGAAATCCTCTCATCTCCATGGCAACCATTCAGCCTGGGTGGACCTAGCCCCGCCTTCAAGATGAAGCTCCTCCTTGAAGCTTCAGATTCCAAGTTTCCAAGCTTCCAACTCCAACTCAGCTCCCTCAGACTAGCCAGCAGCATTTAGCAAACACCTAGTGGGACTGTGCATCAGCTGAGTTCATTACATAAGCAACTTTTCTGTTCAACGCTGGTAAAAATGTTGTTAATGGGTTAACAGAGGACCGATGTGATTACTTTTTAAAGGTGTTTTCAAAGAGACAGAAGCCCAATTTCAAGGCGTTAAATTACAAATTAAGTCATATTTGATATATAAAGCATTTTTATGTCTACTGAAGCTCACAGATTTACTGATTGTGCTATAAAATGCCATGGAGAATACATAACACTGCCCCTTTAAAGCTCTATAAAAGCTCATCACCAGGTCACTGGTGCAGTTCAGATGTTTGAATATCTCAGTTACTTTTGCATGAACTTTCTCTGAGCATCAGGACGAATTATCTGGAACGAAGAAGTCTGTAAGATGAATTGTCAAGAGAACGCCTCCAACACGACAGCCTGCCAACACAGCTGTTCTTTACACCGAGGAGATCAGAGTTGAAATGGTTGGTCTTAATTTACGTCACCGGGTTTGTTTATAAAACCATTAACAGATGAACTGTGGTGGAGAGGTCATGGTGTGGGCGCCTCTCTGTATCAAAGCTTTCTAAAGCCCAAACTGTTTCAGAGCTGTTTTTAAAGTAAAACAAATAAAATAAAACATGTAATTTAAAAAAAAAAAGGAAATGCAAAAAAATTTAAATTAGACTGGCTGCTTTGGGAATTTACCTTTGTTTGTTTTCCACTCAAGAAAAAAAATAAAAAATTATTGTGCTTGTGCTTTAAATAATTCATGATGCTTTTATCATTGCATTTAATAAGCCACAGAAACAAGGTATATCTTTCCCATCAAGATTAATCCAAGAAGATTTAGCAGAAAATGTAAAGTATGAGAAAATAAAATTCTGGTTCTTCTAGCTGAAGAAGAACCAGAGGATCCTGGCTTCCAGCTTCACTTCTTCTCCGTTTCCATTTTGCATATTCTCCACTGTATATGTGTGGATCCTTACTGGTTACTCCGGCTTCCACCCACAAACCAAAAACAGGACTTGGTTGCTCTAAATTCCCATTAGGCATAAATGTGTACATGTGTGGTTGGATTTAAAGCAACAGGAGGCCCTAAAACAGCTCATTCTGAAATGGGCAGAACTGAGCAGACGTAAATCTCATTATCTAAGAATGATTTTGTGCGAAAAATGTAATGAACATGTTTGTTATAGCCTATAGACTTATCCGAACATGTTCAAGGAAGCATCCAAGAAGGTAAAAAATAGATGGATTAAATTTAATCTTCTGCCACTGATTTAGGTCAACAAATGAAAACTGAAGGCAGCAGAAGATTATTAGCCAATCAGAATCCCTCAGTTTCCAATAATATTCTCTTGGTGCACAATGTAATCCGGTCAGTAACGGCTGTATCAGATGGAGCTCTTTGAACGTATTCTGTTGTGTTTATATTTACTCTGAGATAAAATTAGAGTGACCCGTCTACCGGTTATTCAGGGACACTTGATGGTTCTCGATACTGTTCGTCTCCACTTCATGTTGACTGTTAAACTGAAATGACAGAAAGACGGAGGAAACGGCAACAACAAAGCAGGCTGCATGAAATAGTTGCTGAAAACAGCGTGAGCAGAGGAAGGTCTCTGCAGGGGTTATTTGGAAAAATCCAGGCAAGAAGTAAGAATAATTCATCTCCCATTAAATATTTAATTGCTTTCACATCATTCAAAGGTAAAGAACTGAAGTAAATGAAACAAAATAATTTGGGAAATACAAAACCCAGCACTATTTTTTATATATATGCATGGTAGAAGAGGTCGTATTACTCAAGCTAAATGTCCCAGTGACAGTGAACGTCCCGTCTGTTTTGAGGCGGAGCAGCGTGATCAGGTGAGCAGCTCCAGGTGTTTTGGTGTGTAAGAAGCTGCCATTCGACCTCCCACAGGGAGCCAGGCTGGGTACCCTGCTAACAGAGAAGAGCTCCTCCATCCCCGGAGACCCCACATCTCTGAGCACCTCTCCGCCTGTGATCACTGCACACATACATTTATTATGTTACCCTGCTTGAGCAGTGGGGGCAGCCCCGGGGAAATCTACTTCTTAATGCGTCTCTGATGCAGACTTAATGAGAATTTAGCACATTACGGATTTTGAGCACTTGGCGAGTTATTCCTTTATTAGGTTGGCTTTCTTTTTTTTTTTTCAAACAAGCTTTCTTCAGGAGAGAGAGAACATGCAAACTCACAGTAACCCCTGTATAATTTATGTCTGTTATATTTTTAGCTTTGTAAATGCTTAAGCATATATGCTACATGAAAGATTTAATGCTTTGCGCTCTCTTCAATATTGGGACGTTTTAGCTGAAACTGCCTTTAAGCAGGAAAGAACTGTTGCTGTTTTGATTGCTTTAAGAACATAGCCTCCTGTTGATCTATATTTGGGTTGTTTACAGTCTCTTGTGTCTCTTACCTTTCCCTAACAGGCCCCTGAGAAACCTGCCATTGAGGTGTCTCATTTCCTGGAATGGATGAGCCTCGAGCCCCAGTCGATGGTTTGGCTGCCCGTCCTGCACCGCGTAGCTGCAGCAGAGTCCACCAAGCATCAGGCCAAATGCTACGTCTGCAAACAATGCCCCATTAAGGGCTTCAGGTAGGCATGGCTGCTGGGCATTCAATTCATCCAAATGGATATGATATTGTTAGTGGATCAAATGATTAAAACAGATGATTTTTTTTAGAAGTGTGAAATTAGACTTTTGCTTTATCAGGTAACCAAAAATCTGTGATAAACGGATATCTGTCCTTGTTGCACCTTTTAACGGTGTCAGAAATAAATATAATTTTGGGGCCTTTGTAAAGCAGTATTTTTTTAAAAGAAGAGCTATTATGCAAAATTCACATTTTGCACATTTTAATACTTTGGTTTGGGTTTCAGCTGCTTCTAAAAACTGTCCAAGAATAAAAATAATAATAAATCCAGCAGATTTTTTTTCTTAATAAGTTAATGGTTTTTGGTGTCTGGAAAAAGTCCCATCTCACACTGCTCCGTTACCTAGCAACCCCCACTGATCCTAGCCCATAATTTAGCAATCCAAGTGGAGCTCCAGCATGTTTGGTCAGCTGATTTTACCACTGTATGCGCTGTACAATGGCTGCTGGGAAAGACAAGTGTTTTATTGTTGACCTACCATTCAGAAACCAGTTGCTGCATTCTTGTTGCTTGTGCAGGAAGCTCTACTTCTGCTTTTCAAAGATGTAAGTTTGGGTAACTTTTTTGCAGCAGTTTTCATGTGTGACTGCAAACGTTGAGTTGGGGGCGTGGCCAGCAGCAGTTTATTAGGATTTAAATTGACAAGAAGGGACTTAAAATTAGAATTCTAGGAATGATCATTTACATATATTAAATAAACGAATGAATTTGATGTTTTCTGTTAGGTCATTGTGAAATGTATGGATTTTTTGTATTGTTCTAAGATATTTCTTTTGCTGTTTCTGCTGAAGTCATTACATTGATTTGAGAGATTTCATTAAGATTTGTCCTAAACTTAAGTTAAACCTATTAGTCATTTTAACAACCCCAAAATCCCAGGGTTTTGTATAGGAAATCAAACGTCTTTTGTGTGAGTGTGCAAAGAAATATAGGCCTCTACAGCATGGCTGAGATAAGAATACCCACACACACACACCCAGCCACTCTACCACTCCATTCGGTTCTCCTGCAAACATCGTTAAAGTCTCTGTTTTATTGATCTCGACAGGTATCGCAGTTTGAAGCAGTTCAATGTGGACATCTGCCAGACATGTTTTCTGACCGGCCGCACAAGCAAGGGCAAGAAGCTGCACTACCCCATCATGGAGTACTACACCCCAGTAAGACGAGCATTATGCACCGCTTTACCAGAATACAAATTCAAGTCTTTAGGGAGAGATGAAGCTCAACTCTACTCAAGAACAAAATACATACTCCTAATTCCCTATTTCTTCTGCCAAGCATGAATTAAGGCTCTTATCGACTGTATCTTTTTGTCCAGCTCTATAGAATAAATGGAGAGAGAATCACTTAGTAGAAAAATTGATTTTTGGCAAATTTTTGGTTCATTTAAAGGGATGTTTGGAGCACAAACATTCGGGAAAACCCATGAATCATCAGTACAGTGAGTGTAAATGTGATAAGATCAGTTCAATTTCAAGACGTAAAATCCAGCAGTATTTTTATTTTCTGCAAAAATGTTTTTATATAGCAGGCTACGGTTCTCGCAGCAGGCAAGCATGTAAAAATTACTGACAGATATGATGACAAACAGAAGATTTTAAACAGAGCAATAATGTAGAGGCGGTGGATAGAAGGAAACATTAGTATTGGAGGGGAAAAAAGTGGATACATTTTACATGAGGTGGTCTCTGGAGATGGCAACTCTAAAGCAGTGCAATTTGTCTTTCAATCATCCATGCCCTGTGCTTCAACCTCCACTTTTCGCCCCCTCCTCCACGCGCTTCCCTGGACGGCGGCAGACAACCTCGGGAGAGAAGATGAGGGACTTCGCTAAGACTCTGAAGAACAAGTTCAGGTCAAAGCAGTACTTTACAAAGCACCCACAGAGAGGTTACCTGCCTGTGCAATCTGTACTGGAAGCTGAAAGCTCAGAGACGTGAGTCCCACAACACACTTTCAGCCCTTTGTGTCTTTTCTCAGATGCTCCGCTATGCAGACAGGCAGAATTGTGTACATTTATTTACTTGAGACAAATCTATTAAACGAAATTCACCAACTGCACAATTCTTAAGTAGTAAGTAGTATAAGATAAGTAGTATTTCAAAAGAGTAAAAGAAATCTTTTTTGAACAATAACAATATTTGTTGTTAATCTGTTGCTAAGCGACGGGCTCCTTTTCTGGTAACCAAGTGCCACGAAGAAAACATCTGATTTTTACTTTTGCAAAATTTACTAACTGTAAATTTCCTTTCTAAACAGATAAGCTGTATTTCAAACTTGTTTATGTTTTATAAACAGTAACATTACATGTTATCAATTTGATGTTAAGAGATGAGCGTTTTTTTCTGGTGACGAACTGCCACGAAGTAAACGTCTGATTTTTAATTCTGTGTTGAACGTCTGTTTTATAATATATTTACCACCAATGACAATGAAAACATTTTCACTTTTCTGCAAAATTCACCAACTGCACAAATCTTGTTAAGTGGTAAATAGTATAAGATAAGAAGTATTTCAAAAGAGCTGAAGAAATCTTATGTTTTTTGAACAATAACAATATTTGTTGTTAATCTGTTGCTAAGCGACGAGCTCGTTTTCTGGTAACCAAGTGCCACGAAGTAAACGTCTGATTTTTAGTTTTGCAAAATTTACCAGCTGTTAATTTCTTGTGTCTGAGCAGATAAACAGTAATTCAGAAGACCTTATGTCTTATAAACAATAACATTATGCGTTATTGATTTGGTGTTAAGAGATGAGCGTGTTTTCTGGTAACGCACTGCCACGAAGTAAAAATCAGATTTTCACTTCTGTATTGGCCGTCTGTTTTATAATATATTTACCACCAGTGACAAAAACATTTTCACTTTTCTGCAAAATTCACCAACTGCACAAATCTTGGTAAGTAACTTAAGCAGTATTTCAAAAGAGCAGAAGAAACTGTATTCTTTTTGAATAACAATATTTGTTGTTAATCTGCTGCTAAGCAACGAGCGTGTTTTCTGGTAACCAAGTGCCACAAAGTAAACTTCTCATTTTCACTTTTCTAAAATATACCAACTGTAAATTTCCTGTGTCTACGCAGATAAACAGTAATTCAGAAGGTTTGGTGTGAGATGAGCGTAGCAGTTCATTACCAGAAGACGCGCTCGTCTCTTAGCAACCGATAACAACAAATAGTTATTGTTCAAAAAACATAAGATTTCTTCAGCTCTTTTGAAATACTTCTTATCTTATACTATTTACTACTTAACAAGATTTGTGCAGTTGGTGAATTTAGCAGAAAAGTGAAAATGTTTTCTTTGTCATTGGTGGTAAATATATTATAAAACAGATGTTCAACACAGAAGTAAAAATCAGATTTTTACTTCGTGGCAGTACCAGAAAAACACGCTCATCTCTTAACATCAAATTGATAACATGTAATGTTATTGTTTATAAAACATAAACTCTTTTGAAATTCTGCTTATCTGCTTAGACACAAGAAATTTACAGCTGGCAAATTTTGCAAAAGTAACAATGAGTTGTTTACTTCATGGGACTTGGTTACCAGAAAACGTGCCCGTCGCTTAGCAACAGATTAACAACAAATATTGTTATTGTTCAAAAAACATCAGATTTCTTTTGAAAGCTGAAGAATGCCTTCAGCGTTTGTGAGCGCGGCCAGCAGTAGCTCATTTGGATGTAACGTGACAAGTTGTCCTAAAACAGCTCATCCTGAAAGGAGAGCAAAATACAAAGAACCTACCAGATTAAAATGTCGTCATCTAAGAATTTGTGTGAAAAATGTAACAAACAGGTTTTTTATAGCCTGTCTAATATATTCAAGGAAGCATAAAGGTCACCTGTAAAATTGGAAAAAAAAAAAGAATGAGAATATCCTTGTGTTTCATGAAGCTTTGATTTTCTAATAATAATTCAATCTGATTCTGCCAATTTAAAAAAGTATGTCATATCTTTCAGCTTTCTCGCCATGATTGCCAGTGGTGGGAAGTAA